AAAGATGAGAGAGGCCTGTAATTTTCATCATAGGTACACGTCAACTATGACAGACAAATTGAGGAAAATAAATCCAGACAATCACATTGTAGGATTTTTAATGAATTTATTTGCAAATTATGGTGGAAAATAAGTATTTGGTCACCTACAAACAAGCAAGATTTCTGGCTCTCACAGACCTGTAACTTCTTCTTTAAGAGGCTCCTCTGTCCTCCACTCATTACCTGTATTAATGGCAACTGTTTGAACTTGTTATCAGTATAAAAGACACCTGTCCACAACCTCAAACAGTCACACTCCAAACTCCACTATGGCCAAGACCAAAGAGCTGTCAAAGGACACCAGAAACAAAATTGTAGACCTGCACCAGGCTGGGAAGACTGAATCTGCAATAGGTAAGCAGCTTGGTTTGAATAAATCAACTGTGGGAGCAATTATTAGGAAATGGAAGACATACAAGACCACTGATAATCTCCCTCGATCTGGGGCTCCACGCAAGGGGACCTAGTGAATGACCTGCAGAGAGCTGGGACCAAAGTAACAAAGCCTACCATCAGTAACACACTACGCCGCCAGGGACTCAAATCCTGCAGTGCCATACGTGTCTCCCTGCTTAAGCCAGTACATGTCCAGGCCCGTCTGAAGTTTGCTAGAGTGCATTTGGATGATCCAGAAGAGGATTGGCAGAATGTCATATGGTCAGATGAAACCAAAATATAACTTTTGGTAAAATCTCAACTTGTCGTGTTTGGAGGACAAAGAATGCTGAGTTGCATCCAAAGAACACCATACCTACTGTGAAGCATGGGGGTGGAAACAACGTTTTTCTGCAAAGGGACCAGGACGACTGATCCGTGTAAAGGAAAGAATGAATGGGGCCATGTATCGTGAGATTTTGAGTGAAAACCTCCTTCCATCAGCAAAGGCATTGAAGATGAAACGTGGCTGGGTCTTTCAGCATGACAATGATCCCAAACACACCGCCCTGGCAACGAAGGAGTGGCTTCGTAAGAAGCATTTCAAGGTCCTGGAGTGGCCTAGCCAGTCTCCAGATCTCAACCCCATAGAAAATCTTTGGAGGGAGTTGAAAGTCTGTGTTGCCCAGCAACAGCCCCAAAACATCACTGCTCTAGAGGAGATCTGCATGGAGGAATGGGCCAAAATACCAGCAACAGTGTGTGAAAACCTTGTGAAGACTTACAGAAAACGTTTGACCTGTGTCATTGCCAACAAAGGGTATATAACAAAGTATTGAGAAACTTTTGTTATTGACCAAATACTTATTTTCCACCATAATTTGCAAATACATTCATTAAAAATCCTACAATGTGATTTTCTGGATTTTTTTTCTTCTCATTTTGTCTGTCATAGTTGACGTGTACCTATGATGAAAATTACAGGCCTCTCTCATCTTTTTAAGTGGGAGAACTTGCACAATTGGTGGCTGACTAAATACTTTTTTCCCCCAAAAACAAATAAATACTTTTTTCCCCCAAAAAACATAATGTAGCCATACTCCATAATGTCAATTTCTATGTATAACATCGATAATTTCTTCAAAAGTAGCAGAGAGCTCACTCTGGCAGTTTGATGTGCTTGAAGAGTATATTGTTTCAAACAACATGTCTAAAAATAAGCAAAATCAAAAAGGGTACTTTTCAGATATTAATAATTATATGTTTTAATGTTGAATAGATTAATGTGATTTAAAAAACATAATGTAGCCATACTCCATATTTTAGAGCACACTATAAGGAGTATAATGACACCAATATGTTGTCTGCACCATGTATGGTTCACCAGTCATAGGGTCTTACAGGAGGCATGTACAGATCAAAAGGGCATAAAATGGCCACTTTCATCATGAGTTTCTTTTGTGAAACATATGTAAAAAGCATGTTAAACATCCTTCCTCCCAATGAAGTTTTTATGTGAGAATTGCTAGAACTATCTAAACAAATACCCAAATGATTGTCGGGCTATGCTGACATGTATTAGTGACAGTACAGTGACCTATGAGTATGAAACCACTGTGGATATGTTAGATGGCTGGTGTGGTTGTAGCTGCCCTGTCACAACGCTAGCTGATTTATGTCCTTTATTGCCAAAGATCGATGACTTGTGCAAACAAAAATGACTAACAAGGCTTTATGACTCTCTATTACGTAGATGCTTCACAATATCTCCCTTTTATTTCCTGTTTCCAAGAACTAGCTTCCATTTCACACCATGTGAAACGAAATATCACATAGTCTACACAATGCACATACAATGCACAATGAGACAAAAGCATTGTCCGTTAGCTGACAAGAACATTTAGTGTTCCTGATGCTTTGGAATACAGGCCAAAACAGTTGTCTTGGTGACCCAATCAGTGTATGGCGTGACACCTGCTAGTTCATCTCACTGCAGAGTGGGCTTAATGAAAGTAATCACAGGCTCATAGTCTATGAGCAAACATATTCTATCATCATCCGGAGAGAGGAAGTAGTGTTATTAAATGAATTACAAGTCATATATTGAGATGGATGTTGCCTAGCTTCCTAAGGAGAGGCTCTGTTTAGTATCCAAGGATAAAAAGTTTAAAATGAATAAATAATTCTGTATATTCTTCATATTAATTATGCAGTGAGAATGTTAGTATTTTAAAAAAAAACATGTAGCCATTGTTGTACTACACTGTCAAAATCAGATACAGTTGAAGTCGGAAGTTTACATACACTTAGGTTGGAGTCATTAAAACTTGTTTTTCAACCACTCCACAGATTTCTTGTTAACAAACTATAGTTTTGGCAAGTCGGTTAGGACATCTACTTTGTGCATGACACAAGTAATCTTTCCAACAATTGTTCACAACAGATTATTTCACTTATAATTCCCTGTTTCACAATTCCAGTGGGTCAGAAGTTTACATACACTAAGTTGACTGTGCCTTGAAACAGCTTGGAAAATTCCAGAAAATGATTTCATGGCTTTAGAAGCTTCTGATAGGCTAATTGACATCATTTGAGTCAATTGGAGGTGTACCTGTGGATGTATTTCAAGGCCTACCTTCAAACGCAGTGCCTCTTTGCTTGACATCATGTGAAAATCTAAAGAAATCAGCCAAGACCTCAGAACATTTATTTTAGTCCTCCACAAGTCTGGTTCATCCTTGAGCGCAATTTCCAAATGCCTGAAGGTACCACATTCATCTGTACAAACAATAGTACGCAAGTATAAACACCATGGGACCATGCAGCCGTCATACCGCTCAGGAAGGAGACGCGTTCTTTCTCCTAGAGATGAACATACTTTAGTGCGAAAAGTGCAAATCAATCCCAGAACAACAGCAAAGGACCTTGTGAAGATGCTGGAGGAAACAGATACAAAAGTATCTATATCCACAGTAAAACAAGTCCTATATCGACATAACCTGAAAGGCCACTCAGCAAGGAGAAGCCACTGCTCCAAATCCGCCATAAAAAAGCCAGACTACGGTTTGCAACTGCACACGGGGACAAAGATCGTACTTTTTGGAGAAAAATCCTCTGGTCTGATGAAACAAAAATAGAACTGTTGGGCCATAATGACCATCGTTATGTTTGGAGGAAAAAGGGGATGGCTTGCAAGCTGAAGAACACCATCCCAACCATGAAGCACGGGGGTGGCAACATCATGCTGTGGGGGTGCTTTGCTGCAGGAGGGACTGATGCACTTCACAAAATAGATGGCATCATGAGGAAGGAAATTTATGTGGATGTATTGAAGCAACATCTCAAGACATCAGTCAGGAAGTTAAAGCTTGGTCGCAAATGGGTCTTCTAAATGGACAATGACCCCAAGCATACTTCCGAAGTTGTGGCAAAATAGCTTAAGGACAACAAAGTCAAGGTATTGGAGTGGCCATCACAAAGCCCTTGACCTCAATACTATAGAACATTTATGGGGAGAACTGAAAAAGCGTGTGCGAGCAAGGAGGCCTACAAACCTGACTCAGTTACACCAGCTCTGTCAGGAGGAATGGGCCAAAATTCACCCAATTTATTGTGGGAAGCTTATGGAAGGCTACCCGAAACGTTTGACCCAAGTTAAACAATTTAAAGGCAATGCTACCAAATACTAATTGAGTGTATGTAAACTTCTGACCCACTGGGAATGTGATGAAAGAAATAAAAGCTGAAATAAATCATTCTCTCTAGTATTATTTTGACATTTCACATTCTGAAAATAAAGTGGTGATCCTAACTGGCCTAAGACTGGGAAGTTTTACTAGGATAAAATGTCAGAAATTGTGAAAAACTGAGTTTAAATGTATTTGGCTAAGATGTATGTAAACTTCCGACTTCAACTGTATCTCGACTTTGCTATTCAGTTACCTAATCAATATTGGTTGTCTGCAAATCTTCTCAAACTTTGACCGTCACTGACTCATATCAACCATTTGCGTATGAAAGTGATATAATCAATGTCGAAAGTAAGACAAAGACACAGTTTCAATATTCAAATATTTGTTTTTTATTCAAATAACTTAGCATATTATTTCTGTCATGTAAAAAACAACAACAGTAGATATCAGACAACAGTAGAAATATATTGCACAGTTTTTTCTTCCTCTCTTTGTCTTGTTAAACACATTATTTAACACATACAGACAACAGAACCAAGTAGAAACAAATAAATACTCATGCAGGGTTGGGAGTAATTGATTACATGCAATGTTACATGTAATCTGATTACAAAAAACAAACTGTAACTGTAATCAGTTACGTTAGCAGCAAAAATATTATAATCAGATTACAGGTACTTTTTAAGAACTCGATGATTACTTCACAGATTACTTTTAAACTCAGAAAGGATGTTTGAGGAAAAATACATTGACACCTTTCTGTTTTCTCAATGACATTCAATTAAGCATTGAAAAAAGGCTAAAGTTTTAATTGTTCCACCTGAGCGAGTCTGACCACAAGTCAGACCTTTTTGTCTTCTTCTAAAGCTTCTTAAGGGGAAAGTAATCAGATTACATTGCTGAGATTGTGTAATCCAAAAGTTACATTACTGATTACAATTTTGGACAGGTAACTAGTAACTGTAATGGATTACATTTACAAAGTAACATACCCAACCCTGAAAACATGTCTAGTTACGAACACAGTTAGACATTGATGCAGTAGACTGGGACACTGTATCAGTGTGCCTTTGATTGTTAAAGTCCAACTCATTATCAATGCATCCTTTACACACTTTCTTCAGCCCACTCTGTATCTCCGTACATTCACTAATGATAGTCCACATCATGTGGTGATATTGCATCACAGTTCTTGTTAAAGTCCCAACTTCTGTCCATATGGGTATCACTCCGTTTGTGTTTTCTGTTTCTCTTTCCCTCCTTCAGAGCTGTATGGTAATTGACAGTCCTCATCTTTCAGAATAGCTGGCACCAGAATTTCCCCATCTGTCCATCTCGATCTGTAGACATTCCCATCTTAAGGCTTCACTCCTGGTCAACGCTCAACGGCGATGAGTCCCTTTTCTGTTCAAACTTTAGACGACCACACTAGGTCCACTGCTACTAGTTCACGCCTTCTTGGAGGTGGATGTGCACTTGGCACGGAGCTGGCTGATATGATCTTTGTAAGCCGGGGAACGGAGAAAGCGAGGGTAGCAGTCCTTTGCCATGAGAAGGTAGATCCTATGCTGGGCCATGTCGAAACAGGACGTAGATGGATCTTTCAGGTTGGCCCTGGTGATGTCACGAGTCTCGTGGTCAATGTTCACCTGGAGAGAGAGAATGGAGAGAGAGAGGTTAGTCAGCTGCTGCAGTCTGAATGAAGATTTTTGTATTTGTTATTTATAGATGTAATAAAGTTGTAATTTCTAGTTGTAATAAAGATGATTGAAAGTGGGATGCCATAGAAATTTCATAGGTGAGGGAGAATAAAGCAAGCTGTTGAGGGATGCATACCTCTCGGGGTGCGTCGGTGCAGATGAACTCATCATAGATTCTCTGGGCTTTGGCGGCCAGCTTGGCAGCAGACTTAGTGCTCCTGAAGTCCTCACAGGCAAAGTAGAACGCAATGTTTTCCTCACTGAACTCTGACACCAGGAAATCTGTGAAGGCTATCAGTCCATCTGATGAAGAGAAAGAGAAAGTGAGAGAGAGATTAATATCGGTACAGTTCAATAACAATGATGCTATGTCGTAGGCTATCCTAGCATCTGTGTCCTTGCATTACCTACTGTGTGGGAATGTGTGTGCGTAGATGAGTGTGTGTGTACATGTGTGTGTGTGTCTACGTGTGTACACATGTGTATGCATGTGTCTGTATCTTGTGGAAAAAACCCCAGCACAGTGCCAGCATGTGTATTCTACAGCAGCGACTGTGTGATGTTGTGATGATCAAATCTCTTATCTTCGTAATTAGCAAGCTCCCAGTAATACACTATAAGCATCTAGGGATAAAATGGGACAAAATATCCTACTCTAACCTTAAAGGATTATTTTCATTGCATCTCTGCAGAACTAATTGTGTGTGTGTGTGTATGTGTGTACATGTGTTTGTGCAGTGAAGAGTAAGGTTTACTTACGTTTATTGGACAGCAGCTTTTCGAAAGACTCTTTCCACCTCATGCATTCTTCCAGAGTAGGTCTAGTTTTGCCTATTTTGCAGCTTGATAGACTCCAGTTGGGTTTTTGCAGAAAGCTGACCATCCTTGCTTTCAGTTCCTTGGCCCTAAGGAGAGAGAATAATATCATAGGTGAGATAAATAATGCACGTCCTTGAATTGAGTCCTTGTTCAGTACAATATTTTGCTACGTCTCCTCGCTGAAAGGTCTAAATGTAGAATCCCCTAAAACCGCCTTCACTTTCACCATTACAGAAGCTAGAAAGCCAAATAATTATCCCCTTTAATCCTTTAATCCAAATGCCAGCGACAGCAACAGTGAAGAGTTGTATGTACCTTTCTAGGCAGGTGGTAGACAGAGCTAGTCCTTTGCACATAGTTGTTGTGGATGGCAGAGAGCGGTACGTAGTGTAGGTAAGTAAATCCTTTGAGTTGAGGCGAGCAATTGGACTGAGATCAACAGAGTGTCTGCAGTGAGGGAGCAGCGAGCTTTTATCCTCCAGCCTGCGACTTGTCATCAGCCTACTCAGCCAATGACACGGCCTCAAGACTGTGTGTGTGTGTGTGTGTGTGTGTTTGTCTGTGCGTGTGTGTGTGAGAGAGAGAGAGATACAGAGAGAGAGATTGGGAAGGAGGACGAGAAATAGGAAGGGAGGGAGGGAGGGAGGGAGGGAGGGAGGGAGGGAGCGAGGGAGGGAGCGAGAGAGAGAGAGAAAGAGAGGGATATAGAGGAGAGAGCGGGAGAGAGATGGAGGGAGGTGAAGCTGGGAAATGACTGTGACCTAAAGATAAAAGCTTCTGATATTTTTTTAGATATTATTTTCAACATCGCTGAAATCAAACATGTCCTTTGTGTTGTTTATTTTCTTTCTGATCTCTGAAAACATGTTATTGTCTGATTGGACAAAATGTATCTCCCACTTACATGGGCCAGCGGGTGTTTGTGTGTGTGTGTGTCCATGTCAGTGTGTGTGTGCATGCATGGATGTGTTTGTATGCATATGTTAGTGTGTGTATGTGTGGCAGTGTTTACTAACCATAAGGTGTCAACATGTGCATTGTTATATCTACCACCTGTTGGATGTCAGCTCCACAAGGATGCTCTTCCTTTGTCTGTTGTTAATGGTCACTGCTTGGACACACACACACACACACACACACACACACACACACACACACAGGAGATAACAGGGGAGATCAAATAAGAATACAGTAATAATACAACATCCTACAACTGTAGGAATGACCCCTCAACAAAGATGATCTCATAGATACAAAAAGTAAATCATGCATAGGCACAAATCTGTGCGTAAACCATACAAATAGTGAGATTCATCAATATGAACGTTTCCTTTAGAGTGTGCGTAAATGTAAGCGCAGCCATGACCATGAGTACACACTCACTAACTGTAAGTCGCTCTGGATAAGCGCGTCTGCTAAATAACTACAAATGTAAATGTAAATACACACTGTTCCAAGTGGTGGAATAAGGGAACTGCTTGTCAAGTGTAGAATAGGGAAAATATATGTTGAACATTTGTGAAATTGTGAGTCATAATTCAATAATTGTTCTATTTAATTGTATTTCTATTGTGAATTCATGCAACATATCTTGACAGGCTATTTATAATTTGACCACATCAGTGCATTTGTAATGATAAGAATCTATATAAAGTACAGTAATTTGTTAAATTAGAGGCACGTGTGAAAGTCAAACCATTGTTGAAATACTATAATGGAAAATCGAATGAGAGATGGCTGATTTTGCTCTGTTGGAAGATTTGGCACACGCTGCATTTCGCAGAGAGCGTGTACAGATTGGTTATCAGATATAATTTCCCAAAACCAATCGTATAGGATCTTTGAGAGGATTTAACACCTACTTTAAAAAGGCAAACACATGCCATTCCGGTGCACATCCAAGTGCTATTCATTCTCAGGTTTTTGGCAACAGGCACATTTCAATGGGAGCTTGCCGATCGCATCTCACAGCCCTCGATGAGCCAATGTTTTGGATGCAATCATCAGCAAAATTAACAGTAACACATACAATTTCCATACACCATCTCACAACAGGTTGAAGTCAAGAAGGGTTTCTTTGCCATGATGCCATCAATGGGTTCCCAAATACGAACGGAGCAATAGACAGCACCCACATTGCCATAAAATAACCATCCCAAAACTATTTCAACTATGTGAACAGAAAAGGTTTCCATTCTTAATGTGCAGGTCATAGGTTATGTGATGCGCAAAAGACGCTGTTGAATTTGGATGCAAGGTGGACAGGTGGAACGCACGACTCTTTCATTCTACAGAACAGCAATGTTGGCCTATACGCCTACAGGAGAGAGCTGTTGAGGATGGATGGCTTATTGGTGAGTGTTGCCTACTCATGTGAAGTATATTTGCCATTGCTAAAGCACCTTGAATTGTCTTAATGGTCCTCTCTTTGTAGCTATGTTTTATTTTTACTGGTCAAGCCACAACTGAACAAGCCAAATAAAACGTTTTGGTTGACACTAGCGCTTCTATTTCAATCTCTGCAAAGTTTTTTTTTCGTACGTTTTTTTATTTGCGGTGTTGTATGTCATGGTACGCCGTCGTATATTCTCCACAGGCTTTAAAGATATGATTTTGACCATATATGGTTAACTAGGGGTGTTTCAAAATGCAAATAGCCAAGGTCATGCACGAGCACTGAGGCTGAGAACAATTGGTATTTATCATTGGTTATCTCCTACCGGTGTGCGTATGATGCTCGTCGGATTGTTTTATAAATCACACTTTTTCTATGCGTACGAATGTTCTAAATTTAGTTTGTAAGTAGTATTTTAGAATAAACCTACGCAATATTGATAAAGAAGGCCCCAGGGCCTGTTTCAGGGAAGGAAATGTGGGTTGATTATTTAGTAATGTTTAATTATCATTGCAACATTTGTTTGGATATAATTTTCTTAGCTCCTTGCTATTCCAAAAAAGGAAAGGTTGATAGCTTCTCCGGTAAATGACTGCAGATGCTATCACCTTTCCTTTTTTAGGATTATCAAGGATCTACAATTCCTCAGATAAACACCTAATTCCAGAAAAAACTTTTGCAGTGCCGGCACATATACTGTACAGTGAGGGAAAAAAGTATTTGATCCCCTGCTGATTTTGTACGTTTGCCAACTGACAAAGAAATTATCATTCTATAATTTTAATCGTAGGTTTATTTGAACAGTGAGATACAAAAAAATCCAGAAAAACGTATGTCAAAAATGTTATAAATTGATTTGCATTTTAATGAGGGAAATAAGTATTTGACCCCCTCTCAATCAGAAAGATTTCTGACTCCCAGGTGTCTTTTATACAGGTAACGAGCTGAGATTAGGAGCACACTCTTAAAGGGAGTGCTCCTAATCTCAGCTTGTTACCTGTATAAAAGACACCTGTCCACAGAAGCAATCAATCAATCAGATTCCAAACTCTCCACCATGGCCAAGACCAAAGAGCTCTCCAAGGATGTCAGGGACAAGATTGTAGACCTACACAAGGCTGGAATGGGCTACAAGACCATCGCCAAGCAGCTTGGTGAGAAGGTGACAACAGTTGGTGCGATTATTCGCAAATGGAAGAAACACAAAAGAACTGTCAATCTCCCTCGGCCTGAGGCTCCATGCAAGATCTCACCTCGTGGAGTTGCAATGATCATGAGAACGGTGAGGAATCAGCCCAGAACTACACGGGAGGATCTTGTCAATGATCTCAAGGCAGCTGGGACCATAGTCACCAAGAAAACAATTGGCAACACACTACGCCGTGAAGGACTGAAATTCTGCAGCACATATACAGGCCCGTCGGAAGTTTGCCAATGAACATCTAAATGATTCAGAGGAGAACTGGGTAAAAGTGTTGTGGTCAGATGAGACCAAAGTGGAGCTGTTTGGCATCAACTCAACTCGCCGTGTTTGGAGGAGGAGAAACGCTGCCTATGACCCCAAGAACACCATCCCCACCGTCAAACATGGAGGTGGAAACATTATGCTTTGGGGGTGTTTTTCTGCTAAGGGGACAAGACAACTTCACCGCATCAAAGGGACGATGGACGGGGCCATGTACCGTCAAATCTTGGGTGAGAACCTCCTTCCCTCAGCCAGGGCATTGAAAATGGGTCGTGGATGGGTATTCCAGCATGACATTGACCCAAAACACACGGCCAAGGCAACAAAGGAGTGGCTCAAGAAGAAGCACATTAAGGTCCTGCAGTGGCCTAGCCATTCTCCAGCCCTTAATCCCATAGAAAATCTGTGGAGGGAGCTGAAGTTTCGAGTTGCCAAACGTCAGGCTCGAAACCTTAATGAGAAGATCTGCAAAGAGGAGTGGGACAAAATCCCTCCTGAGATGTGTGCAAACCTGGTAGCCAACTACAAGAAACGTCTGACCTCTGTCATTGCCAACAAGGGTTTTGCCACCAAGTACTAAGTCATGTTTTGCAGAGGGGTCAAATACTTATTTCCCTTATTAAAATACAAATCAATTTATAACATTTTTGACGTGTTTTTCAGGATTTTTGTTGTTGTTATTCTGTCTCTCACTGTTCAAATAAACCTACCATTAAAATTATAGACTGATCATTTCTTTGTCAGTGGGCAAACGTACAAAATCAGCAGGGGATCAAATACTTTTTCCCTCACTGTATATTAAAGTTTACTGGAACCAGGAACCAGTTAAGATATATAATATCAAAACTACACATCACATTCAGGAGACAACACAGGACAAATTTTAATTTGGGAAATACAATACAAACATATTTAATAACACAAACACACACTACAATGAAACAGAAACTCCCATTATCATACCCATTGTTTTGAGCCCTTTTTCAATAAACTCAGGTTTTCTGGCCACTCTTCCGTAAAGCCCAGCTCTGTGGAGTGTACGGCTTAAAGTGGTCCTATGGACAGATACTCCAATCTCCGCTGTGGAGCTTTGCAGCTCCTTCAGGGTTATCTTTGGTCTATTTGATGCCTCTCTGATCTTGCCTGGTCCGTGGGTTTTGGTGGGTAGACCTCTCTTGGCAGGTTTGTTGTGGTGCCATATTCTTTCCATTTTTCTAATAATGGATTTAATGGTGCTCTGTGGGATGTTCAAAGTTTCGGATATCTTTTATAACCCAACCCTGATCTGTACTTCTCCACAACTTTGTCCCTGACCTGTTTGGAGAGCTCCTTGGTCTTCATGGTGCCGCTTGCTTTGTGGTGCCCCTTGCTTAGTGGTGTTGCAGACTTTATTTAACTAATTATGTGACTTCTGAAGGTAATTGGTTGCACCAGATCTTATTTAGGGGCTTCATAGCAAAGGGGGTGAATACTTATGCATGCACCACTTTTCCATTATTTATTTTTTTGAATTTCTTGAAACAAGTTATTTTTTTCATTTCACTTCACCAATTTG